TATATGAAAAAGGAAAGTTACAATTTTGCCTTTTAAGTAGTAGTCATCAATTTGTCAGATTTTTATTTTTTGGTCAACTAGCCGTCAAACTAACGGTTTCTGTCAATTTGGACTCTGAGTGCGGATTGTTTAAAGGTTTGGTACCGTGAATGACACAAATGAGAGGTTTGGGCAAAGTCTGGAAAAATGTGAAATGTTTGGTACTGTGGCTGCAATTTTCCTTTATTATAATGGTAAAACTTCATTTTCAACTATATATTTCAATAGATTTAGAAGTAGTATCCACCAATGAAAGTGTAAAGATATTCGACTTAAAATCGTGTCTTAATATATTTTTTCTTTGTAGAATTTGAACTTATAAATTTTTGTCTAGTGAATTCGACCAATCCAATACATTAAACATCTAATTGGTCATTTTACAAACATTTCCAATTGTAGTTATCCAAAAAATAAATAATTTGAATATCTTGTGAATTTTGAGCCAAATTCATTGAAAACATTTTTCTTTCGACCGAAAATAGGTGCTACACACATTTTATAGCATCACATAAGAATAACGACACACATAAAGTAAAGTTTCCTCCTTAAATAAATTTAAAATCGACTATCAAAATCTTTTGTTGCCATCCTGATCGAGCAACACCTAAAAATAAAAAAGATTAAAAAAAAAAAAAAAAGTGAACACTCTTTACAACCATGTTGTGGCATATGTCCTCGATCTTATAGTACCCTATAAATTGGAAGTGACAAAAAATTCAAAAAAGTGGAAAAAAGTAATAAAAAATATTAACACAAGAAACCAATCCAAATATGAAAATGCATATACTGGAACTTCAAGAGGATCTAGAAACTCAATATATTGCAAAGATTCATACAGCACTTCCATTGAGACCAAGACNAAAAAAAAAAAAAAGTGAAAATTGTAACTTGAGCAACCAAAATCCGGAGGGACAAGGAAATATCTTGGTACTGCCATTGGGACATTCAAATTCTATGGTTCTGTTAATCCCGTTGGTCCTTACCCCTCCCCTCACTGGTTTTCAATATTTTTTGTTCAAGAAAACAGAGAATAAAATTCCTTAAAAACCCCATCATCATCGACACCTTTGTACCAGGGCCATTGTTGATTTCTTTCTTGATTTAAGAGCTCTGAATGT